AATTTTTCTTTTTCATAATTGAATTCTATTTTGGAGTTTCAACGCATAATGTTTGATGCAAAATTCCATAAACGTACAAAAATTATAAAACATAAATTCACTCAACTCTAGTTTCAAATTTAGATTTCTTGAGAAATAGGCAAGTGTCCCTTGTAATTATTCACACCAATCAGAAAGCAATGACCTGCATGTACAGAAGAAAGACTAAATTAAAAGGTTAGCAACATTAAAAGAGAAAAGTAGTTTGTTTTTCCTTTTTGCTTTGCAAAATTTTAAAATATTACAATTGTTACTATTAAAATAAATGTGATGATTAGTATCTTATTTGTAATAAATGAAGATGTCACGGGTCAAAATAACTTGATCGTTAAAACTTCTCAGTTACAATATGCGAAGAATAAGAAAACGGAAGGAATATATATATTGAAGGACCATTTTACATTATTCTAAAAATTCGTGTAATCGGAGTCTTTCATATTGAATGTAAGAAGAAGATCTTGTCCATATATATATATATATATTTCAAATCATAAAATCTATTCTACAATATGTTAAACAATTCCTATCATTCTTAGATATCCTATACACCCTATACAAGGCAAGACATACCATGAACGATCAGTTTACAATTAAGAGAAGAGACGAGTTGGTATACGAAAATGAAGTTAAAATGAAATGCAAGAATGTAAAATACATTGTGGAGTTAACTGTTTAGAAAAGCAAATTGTGCTTAAATATCATGCAATAACAATGGAACCACCAGTTAATTTTTTATGAATTAGATGAACTCTGTGATAAGTGACAAAAAGAGTAGAAGGAATGAGGAACATGTTCAATTGTTCTAGTGTCTAGAATCTAAAAATAAGATTTTTAAGATAACACAATACTTAAGTTAGTGTTTGGATTTGATTATTGATGAGTGACTAGATGATCCACCAACAAAAGATGTACTCGCATGATGAACACTATGAGGAGTGGATGCATTAGTCTTCCTCTATTTTGTTTTTTATGACATTGTTAACTGCATTTCTATCGTTATTGTTTTTTTTTTTTTAATTTAAAACTATGAGGGATTTCATATTTAAAATAGAATTGGTGATTAATTTGACATGTTTTTTCAATTTGGATTTCTATATAAAAAAAATTAAAAATATTTAATTTAGTTCTTAAATGAAAGAACATTTTTACATTAGTTCTTCCTGTCTATTACGCGTTGACAGTGTTAGACTAAGGAACCGAAATGTAAAACAAAAACAAAAACTTTTATTAGAACTAAAATATAAATTTTAACTATAAAAAAAATTGTAAATAAGTAAAAACTATAAAAATTAAATATATATTCTAACCAATTATAATATTTAAAAATCACAAAACATTAAACTTAATTTAAAAAAAGTTTATATTATAACTCAATCTTGTCTTGACAACACACTTAGTCTTGTAACAAAAAAAAATTCTCTATTTTATAAGGTTTTGTTAATCTCAATTATTAAGATTGAGTTTAAACAGTGAAAAGTAAGAATTTTGTTTCTCCTTTCAATAAAATTTTATTATAATTAATTTTTTAAATTTAATCTTAAGGATTAAATTAATAATTTTTTTATTATTATCTTTTATTATACCTTTAAATAAATGAATAAAGTATCAATGTTAGTATTTTTAATATACTTTTTATTATATATTAATCACAATAAGTCTTTATTATAATATACTTTTTATTATACCTTTAAAAATTTCATAACTTTTTAATTCGGCATCTTTATTTTTCTTTTTTAAATAAGTCTAGTTTTTTTTACTTATGGTTAGAATATACATTTAGTTATTATAAAAGTGTAATAATTACTTTTATTTTTAATAAAATTATAATTCATTGCTTAAACTCATTTTTAAGAATTAAAATTAACATTTTCTTATTTTATATTTGTGTCCGTGATCATACCTTCAAAATAAAGTATTAGTGTTAATATTATTGTACATCACTTACTATAAAATATTTTTATTTTCTTTACAAAAAAGAAAAATATTTACTATTCTTGAAAGATAAAACTATACTTGATATAAATTTGATTTAAAATATAAATTTTTAGTTTTTTAAAATTTCATAATTTTTTATTTGATTTGTTTTCGAACAAGTGTATTTTTTTTATTTCTAGTTAAATTATACATACTTGATTCTTATAAATGACACTTATTTTTAAATAATTTTATGTTTAAAATTGATAATTAAATTTTTATATAAGTTTTTTTTATATATTTTAATTCTTTTCATTTAACATCGTTATTAAAACTTTAAATGGTAAAAACTAATTTAAAATTATTTATTTATATAAAAATGAAATTATAACTTTTTTTTATATAGACACCAAATTAAAAAACTTATGTGTTAAGTATAGAAATTATATTTATAATTTAATAAATTTTAATCATCAACGTTATGTTAATTTTTAGTTATATAATTCATGTTTAATTTTAATTTTTTATATACTTTTATAATAAGTTTTATTATCTTACTTAGAATTATTAGCTTTTTTAACATTTATTATCTTTTACACTGGTGTTTCTAATTCTTAATGTTAATTTTATTAGTTTATTAAGATATATGCTATGTTAATTTTTAATTATATTTATTTTTATTTTTATAAGCATTATTTAAAAGTGGACATCCAAACATTTGTAAGTATATTTTAAAATCTGCATTCAAACACAAATAGCATATTCAGTTGAGCTTTTATACTTAAATTCTTATTGAATATTTAATTAAATTATTTATTTAAATATAAGTTAAAAATAAACATACTTAAAAGAACTAATTGTCACTATAAAAACCAGAAGAATCGAAGTCGAAAGCAATAGAAAAGCATGGTGAAACATTCTCATCTACACCTAGTCACCTTAATACTATATATATATATACAATTTGATTAGTGGATAAAATAAAATAATATTTGTGGATAGATAGGGATAGCAATATGTAAAGTATCCGATAGGCACCCGCAAAATTTATTCACAATGGTAAGGTATTTTATTTTATGTATAGATAGGGATGACAATGTGTAAAGTATCCGATGACCACCCGTTAAATTTATCCAAGATATTTAAGTACTCACCCCGCCTTATACCTGCATATATATATATATGTTTGAACTTTGTTTTATAATTATGCATTAAATTTTTATATTATTATATTACTTATGTAAAATTATATAAGATTAATATAAAAATATATTTAATAACAAAGTAAACCAAAATTATTTATGTTTATATTTTTAATAGGAAAATTTATTTACTATTTTATATCATTTAATTAGCCTAATAATATTTAATTATTACATAGTTGATATAAGATTTACTTTTTTTAAAAATATTATTTATATATGACACACATAAAATATTTTTCACACAAATATTTTTGTTAATAAAATCATATTAATATTTAAATCTTAAAGTGAATGATAAATAATAAGCATATTATAAATATTTTATAAATTTTACAATAACCTACTATTACCATAAACTTATTATTTATTGATAATATTTAAATTTTATTTTTTATATTTTAATTTAAAATAATATTTTCTATACAACATATATATTACAAGCACAACTATAATATATTAAATTTAAATAATATTATTCTTACTATTTATTTATATTTAAATAAGTTTTTGAAAAGATATAAAATATAAAAAATTATTATTAATTTTTTTTTGTTAATTTTTTCTTCAGATAAAAAAGTATAATTTTTTTATATACACATATATTTCTTTATTATAAAATTTTATTGTAACCATTTATCTTTTATTCAAATTCTTTCTTTTAAAATATATATACATTATAAATATTTAATTCATTAAAATAATTTTTTAAAAATTTTTATTTTTGACAAAATACTTTCTTATAGTATATGAGTTAAAAATATTAGTATTAATAATATATATATATATATATATTATTTTAATTAAATATATTATTTTTCTTACAATTTCAAATTCAAAAGTTAAAAAAATATTTTATGTATCTACCTTTTTGTTGTTAGTACTTGAACTTCTCTACCCTAACTCTATTCTCATTCTTAATGTCTGTTTCATTAAAACCTAACAACTGTGAAATTGTTATTCATTAGAGTTAGTTGTTAATACCGCTACAAGAGATTACCAAGTGATTTCACACGAAGGGCTACCCACTGTGCAGATCTATTTCGTTGTTGCTCTGACGTTGCTGATTGATCGAATCTCACATAAGATAGGATTATCGCCGACAAATAATTTGTTTGTTTAGTTTCGTTTATTGTTTCTAAGAATTTTAGTTTAAAAATTTATTATATTAAGATACATTTATCACTTGTGATCTTTGAATATTTATTTTTTTTTATCTATATTTGTATTTTGTTTGACAATTACATTTTAAATTTTTGTATTATTATGTTAATTATGTGAAATTATATAAACATATTTTTCTTTATAAATATTTTTTTCTCAAACAAACGTGGGTAACGAGTACAAGATGGGTATGCAGGTACCCAAAAGGTACGAATACAAGGATTAATATTCATACCTACACAGGTATAAGGTTAGGTACGAGTATTTTTGTAAAACGCAGATATAAGAATGGATACTATAGTACCCCACCTATACCTTACCTATTGCTATATCTGTGTGCAGAGAGTTAACTCATCAACTAATCCATAAATATTCTGATCCCAAAAAATTGAAAAAAGATTACAATAAATTCATTCCAAATGATCCTATGGAATGAACACGTATAAAACATTAAAATCTTGTATGAATGAGAGGTTCCTTTCGAGCTAGAAAGACGTGGAGCTTGCTCAATTACCATCTCCAATCGGGTCATTTGGAGATCCGGAAACCCACTTGATTTTATTAAACCCAATATGTATCAAAATAAATCCGACCCGTAACGTTACCCGACCCATCTCCATTTCAAGGGAAGTTTGAAGCTACAGCTATCTATGATTTCTACATCTTTGAGCCAAAGTTAACGGTTGCATAGGAACCATGGATCCTCCTCTGCCTAAACCCTCCTTCAACCCCAACAAGCATCTCAAAGAAGAGTTACTCTCTCTACTTTCTTATTCCCTAACCCATGCTTTTTTCCTTATTGTAATCGTCTTCAAATTTTCATTATTAATCCCTCCTTCGTATTTGTCTTAAAATTGCAGATTCGTAAGCAACTTGAGCGGATCCTCTATGCTTGAAATCGCCGCGCTTACAGTAACTGTCCCTGTGAGTCAACCCACAATTTGCATGCCACATACAATTTTCATACCAACTCAAATGTGATGTGATCGTCTTTTTTTTTTTGTTCCCCTTACAGATTCTCGTCCTTATTCGTCACTCCATTCCCTCCTTTTCTTTAAATGGTCAGTCTATAAAACTTAAATTTCACACTTTCAAACTCAAGTAGCTAAACCGAACATTTTATTTATGCTTAGTTTCTGCATTTTGTTATAATTCTCTTTGACATTTTTATTTTTATTATGATTAGTATTGTTACCCTATGATTCGGTTGTTTGATTCCATGCAAGCTTTATTCACCTTATCTTGTTCATATACATTACGTAGATAACATGTTTGTTTGCCTTTTTTTTTTTATTATTATTATTAAAGGTGCCTCCCTGAAGAAGAAAAACGACGATGCACCTTCGAAGAATAGGGGTTTCAAAGCATACTTAGCTACATTGTCTCTGGACTTTCTTGTCATTGTTGTTCCAATGCTCTTATTTTTCACAGTACGTTTGCCCTAGTAGCATCAAATGTTTTGCTAACAAATAGAAAACACCGAGCTTGCTTTGGACTTGAGTTTCAACTTTCAATCATTCACATTTTGTAATTACTATAATGAACTTGCTGACAGGTTCTTGCAGACTGGACCTATATCTTTGCAAGTTTGTTCACAATCTTAACGTTACTTTATACTGTAGCTAAGAGGTAATTGTTCAATTTTGTGTAGGTAACGTACTTAAGGGTCTTAATAATATAATAAGTAAATAAGAGGCTGACTTCTATACACTTAACTGCAGGTCTGGTAGTTCATCTCCTTCTTTTGAAGGGGAGTCCAATTCCCTTCGAGCATATATTACTTCGTACAGGGTTATTGTGGTATGAAGTGCCGCAGCTGAAAAATCTTTGTTCAATTGTTTTGATTGTTCACTGTTATTATGTTAATTAAAATAATTTTTGCAGATGATTATAACATTCTTGTGTATCTTGGCTGTTGACTTCAGAATATTTCCTAGAAGATATGCAAAGACTGAAACTTATGGAACTAGTTTGGTATGTACGGTCCTTCTTCAGTTTCAAATATGAAAAATGAAAGACATGTCCATACGAAAAGAATATTGCAAAGGAGATTTTATATAAAAATGTTTCATATGCTTTCTAATCCAACACTTTTGCCACAGCAGAGAACATTGATTATATTCTTAGGTAATATTGTGAGTCACAGTGGGTATATTTTAAGTTTAAAAAACAATATAGTTGCAGATAATTTTTCCTGTGGTTTATTCCTGTTTATCAATGAAAATATGGTTTCAAAGGTTGTAGAAGTTTTGTTGATAATCAGGGGCGGGATTTTCTCAAATTTATTGGCTTGAATTTAGATGGTAAAGACATAGTTCACAAGCACAGAATTTTGTTTAGGCAGATTCTTAGGGATTGGATTGTCATGTTTTATCTATGGACTTCAGCTTATGGTTTATTTAACAAGGAACTATGTCCAACATTCAAAGCTATTGGAGGCCTTTTCTGACCTATGCATATTTCTTTTTCTTCTGTGTATGTTGTTTTGATGAAAGGGGGGCTTGTCTTCCACTATGATAGCAGTAATGTCTATACTAGGCGGAGCAGGCAGCATGGGCCTGGCAATAATGGGCTCAATTGAGTTAGTTTGGAGAATTAGAGTTAAATAGAGGGACAGGGGCATATAAAATGTACTGGAACACAACAGAGAAAAGAGTGTTAGAGAGTTGAGGATTTTGGAGTGGATGCAGTGTAGCAGTTCCTCTTAGCTAGTCTTTGATCATCTTCTGTATTCTTTCTCTGTGATAGAGTTCTTCCTTCACCCATATTGGGTCCAGGGAAGAGCCTCAATCTTTCTTGAATAAAGAAATCATCTTTTACGTCATTTCTTGTACCAGTGTATCACACTATAATGCACTTCTTTTGGTTAATGCCCATACTGTGTTGCATATCAATTACAATTTCGTCCATAAATTTTGTTTCCTATTTTACTGACAAGCACCACAGTCTATATTTTAATTGTTCTGTTGAGATTTCTTTTGCATTCCAGATGGATCTTGGTGTTGGAGCCTTTGTTTTAGCAAACTCACTAGTTTCTCGGCAAGCACGTAATGTAAAATCTGTGTAAGTCATCCAGTGCTACATATCTAGTGTCTTCAGACTTCAATGTGATTCTTAGCTCACCAAATAAACTGTTGGAAATTAATTTGTGTATTTATCTTTACTGAAATAGAAAAATTTATGTTTGCCTGGATGTAAAAATGTATTTTATAGTGTTTGATAAATTACAAGTTGTCTTACTTGAATGAGTTAGGAACTTCTGTTACAAGCTCATACAAATGAGTAAAGTAGCAATGTTAACAAAATGGACATGCTGTCTAGCTTTCGAAAATTAAGAGCATGTTTGTTTTAATTTTTAAAAAGAGTTTTCTCTTTTTAAATTCTCCTTTCCAATTTCTGTTTACCTTATTTGTATTTTTTGTTTTTAAAAAGAGAAAACTCTTTTTAAAAATCAAAACAAACATTCTCTAAGTTTCTCCTTTCCAATTCTCTTTACCTTATTTTTTGTTTTTAAAAAGAGAAAACTCTTTTTAAAAATCAAAACAAACATGCTCTAAGTTTCTCCTTTCCAATTTCTGTTTACGTGCTCTTTGGTAACATTGATGTCTTTTTGAATGAACATGCTCAGATACAGTGCATTCTGCATTCCTTTGATATATATATATATATTTATTTTTATCTTTTTTTTCTCATGCTTCAGAAACTGGAAGACTGCAATAGTTTCAACTGGTCCACTGATCATCTTAGGATTTATTCGTCTTATTACAACAGCTGGTGTGGATTATCAGGTGGGATTATTTTCATCGGATTCTTAAAATCTGCGGCAACAGAAACACATTCATGTGCAAATAACACTGAATCCTCTTTAAGCTTTAACAATGCTACTTACCAATTTGTTTCTGAAACTTAAACTAATATGACATAGTTTCATAAAGACCCCAGATATGGGCAGTATATCTTATATCGCTTAAACTAATCTTTTGGGCAGAAACTTTGATACCATGCTTGGTGGGGGGAATAAGGCTTGATTTGCAAAAGCAGTTTGCTCGGAATGTGAATGAAATTTGATCTTTGATTGCACTGCACTGAATTATTTCGTTTCCTTATTACGCCTGGCCCTAGGTAGTGGTGGAAAGATAGAGAGTAATATTTAATATAGTTATTTCATTAAATCTGCTCCTGATAAGCAAAATGAGTAAACTGAAAATAAATACTTAAAGAAAGTACTGACATAGAAGTTCTTATGATTGTTTTTTATTAAAATGGTCACTGATATGGATTTTTGCTTGTTTACAGAATTGTGAGATCTAATTGTCTAATATTTTAGTTCAAGACTGATAGAAACTGGTATCTTTATTAAGAAATACAAGAAGAAACTCCCAATGTTACAAAATAAAACACACACACTCAACAGTTCTTCGAGGGATTGCACCCCTAAGCCAAAGGCCTAACTCTCAAAATTGACAAGCTGACCTCTCTCTCTTCCTTCCTCTTATTTATGGAGGCAATATGCCTTATTTCTTCTACAATCTCAACCATCCCAAATTACTAACTAATTAAGGCTAACTAACTAATATATTGTAGCTAACTAATATAATATAATGAACTACTAATACGTCCCTAACTAACATCGTAGCTAACTACTAATGGGGTTACCTAACAAAGCATTCATAAGGTCCTTTTTTCCCCTTCTCATGATAATATTTAATGACAATGGCCACTGCTATGCCATTTTTCCTACACACAAATTGTGAGTTATAATAGTCTGATGGATAATTCAAGACGTTTTCAAGGAAGCCAGTAATCATTTTTCATTCTTATAGGTACATGTTGGTGAATATGGTGTGCATTGGAATTTCTTCTTCACACTTGCGGCAGTGTCAATCCTTACTTCCTTTGTTAATATTCCCCCTCAATATTGTGGAGTTTTTGGTTCACTTGTTCTAGCAGGTACTTTTTTCTTTGTCTCATCTTAATGTCTTGCCTTTTGAAATATGTTTTTCTAATAAATTTTAATTTCTGTTTCTAAGGGTACCAGTTCTGCTTGGTGCATGGTTTAAATCATTACTTGCTTTCTAATGAAAGAGGAAGGGATATCTTAAGTCAAAACAAGGAGGGGATTTTTAGCATATTTGGTGAGAATTGCATCTTGCATTATTTGATCTTGATGCTAAGACTTTAATTTTACTGGAAAGTACTTCGGGTTATTGTATTTCTGATATTTAACGTTTGATCAAACAATTGTATTTTGTCACCAGGATACTGGGGCATGTACCTTCTTGGTGTTTATTTAGGAAACTCTCTTATCTTTGGAAGCCATTCCTCTGGATTTAGAGGTAGCAGATGGGTTCAGATGAGGGTTTGTATTCTCTCCATCCTGTTTTGGTAAAGCTTGATCCCAAACTTGTTTATCCTTTTGAATGATATCTACAGCCTTGAACCCCTTTTTATGATGCCCATTTTAGGTTGCTAACTGTGCTTCTAGACAAGCATGTTGAAAGAATTTCACGGAGAACGGTATGTCCCAGTGCTATAGTTTCTTAATTAAAGGGCATTCTTTTGGTCATCAATGGATGCAAACTAAATGTTGATACTTTGCAGTGCAATCTGCCATATGTTACTATGGTATTGGCTGACAATCTACAGGTCTTCTCTCTTCTGTTCTCTTCATTTGATCAGTATCTAACAGTGTGTGATCGGGCATGTTGACTTTGCTGCTTGTATTGCAGTTGCAGGGTTTTTAAATTATTTTATGGCTCTATCTCGGTTGTTAGTGTTTATTTTATGCAATTGAATCTTTTTGAACTAATCTGCTATACTAAATACTGCACTGTGGATGTCTCAATCAGTATCACAATTTTACTTTCACCCCGCAGCAGCTCATTCTTGAGTTATCACTGTCATTATAATTGCCATTTGGCAGTTGATTAAGGGTTTGGTTTGAATATTTATTCTGAATGTCACTTTTTTCAGCTGTTATCAATTCTGATGATGGCTGATCTTGTTCCTGGAAGTAAAACTTCACTACTTGAAGAAGCATTTAATCAGAACTTACTGGCTACATTTCTTCTGGTGAACAAGATATTCCTATTTTACAATCATATATACTTGCTCTCTTTTGATTTCAGATCTAATTTCCTCTGGTAATCTGTGTGCAGGCAAATGTCCTTACAGGGTTGGTAAACTTGTCTGTTGATACCCTATCTGTATCATCCATCGCAGCCCTTTTTATTTTGCTTGTCTATGCTTATATTTTATCAATTGTAATTGGTATTGCAAATTATTTTGGTATAAAGTTAAAATTTTGGTGAAGCAGCCCATTATCTATGCTGTCGTCTGCACTATTGGTGTTACTATTTATTACAAACACAAGATTTCATTTTATTAGTCTTAAATTGAATTTATTATAAAACTTGTGTGGCAATTATGGTTGGTAGTAGAAGTATGCATGATAAAAAATTCTATTACCTTAAACTTGATCTATGTGTTGACAAATCCTTAAGATTTTAAATCATCCCCTGGTCAGCATATTTGGGGATGCGTATGTATGATAAAAATGATGGAGACTGGACCAATCTCATCTTTGTGACACTTGGGACAGCCTTTCGTTGACCCAAAAAAAGGACAGCCATTTCCCTGCACATGCAATTGTATGCTATCTCAGCATGGATATTGATTGACCACTCAGAAGATGCAACTTACAACTCATACTTGGTGGTTTTGTGTGTTTGGCTTCATTTTCATGCATTCTTGATTTGGCGTCCCTTTAGTAGTTTTTATATACTCTACACGATTGTGCAGTGAAACGGAATGGGGTAAGAAGCATAAATCTTTCTAGGCAATATATGTAATGGAAAAAGAAAGGTTGAAAATGAATTATGGGGATTTGAATGTAGCCTAAGTGATGCGGATCTGCATGATGTACTTTTTCGAGAAGGGTAGCTTACAGTCACATGGTTAATCCAGCAGAGTCTGACAGCTTGGACCATGGTCCTAGCTCGACCTCTGTCCTTTTGTGTGTCCTCATCAGCACATAAGGCTAAAGTTCTGGTGTTTGTCAAAACATGCACATCGAGGTGTAGCCTATACACACAAGAACACTCCCCACATCAATATTAATATTGATGAGGTACTTACTATAAAGTATAAACTTCTACGCAAAATATACTTAAGTTTATTCACTTACATTTTCACTTTTATGGCAACTTGAAAGATTTTCCTTGTCAAGTATTTGGTGGTCCTGGTTATCCTCAGTTTTTGCATACAGTTTGCATCAAAGAAAGAGTACCATGATCAGAAGGCATAACCCCTTTTTACTTTAAAAGTGATAACGGGAATATCGCAGATTGAACTAGGAGGAGTTCGTTGGCCGTTAAAGAAATAAAGTCATTACCAAATGTACGATTTTCATCAAGTCAATTAACAAAAGACGTCAAAATGATGTTATTGTCGTAGATTTTGTAGATTATAATGATTAATTTTTAATTAACTCCTACAATTTTATGAGCCCAAAACATGGTATGGATAAAGTTTATTGGGTATATACATGTACCCTGGAGTAATCTACATGGTCTAATCTCTACCGTAAGATTGTCAACTACAGCAAAATGTTGATATGGCTTTGACATGTAGAATGTTGTATCGAAGGATTGTCAAATACATGCAATAGTCTTTGTCTAAATTATTTATATGGGAATCTCGGGTGCGTGAGCCATTCATTTCCTGCAAACCCCAACACAGATTTGAATGTGATGAGTAGCTATTACACAGCTTGTTGTGTTGTTTGTATGCATATTTCTATATAGATTTGGGTCCCCCACCCTACTCTTTCATTGGCATAAGCTGTGCCAGTCTTTGACAGCATCTATGAAATTGGGAAGGGAACCAAAGCATGGATGTGTGAGGAGCCTGTTTCCTTTTACTACACCTTTCTGATTCCTGAAAAGCACAACACCTTTTTCTGCCCTTCTCACGTGCTGCGTATCCTCTAATCTAAATTACCCTTTTTCCAATATTAAACTTTCAGCTTCCTCTTCCTCTGTAACTCAAGCTGCATCAACTAAGTTAGTGGAATTTGCTATAAATGGTTGTCATGCTCTTGTGAGAAACTCATAAGAGACTCCTGTGGTGATTTAGTTCTCACAAAGTTGAGGATTATAATGGCTTTAGAAACTCTTTCTTCCAATGAGTTTTCCAACTTCATTATCTATGACACTATCTCTGCAACTCCATTTAGCAGCCACGACTCTTCTGAGGCTAGTTTCTTAGAAAATTTAGTGAACTATCAGGAACAAGAACCTGCATTTGATAACTGTGCAATGAGAACCCGAAAGCGCCAAAACAGCGAGCTAGAAACCATTGGAAGGAAGCAGAATGTGGTGGTGCAAGGTAGGAAGAAGAGGAGAAGGAAGCCAAGGGTATGCAAAAACAAGGAAGAGGCTGAGACACAAAGAATCACACACATCACAGTCGAAAGAAACCGCAGAAAGCAGATGAATGAGCATCTTGCTGTCCTTCGTTCACTCATGCCCGAGTCTTACGTCCAAAGGGTTTGTTTCTCTCTCTTTCTCATAAAGAATGTACTTGGGATTTTTCACAAAATCACTGGTATGTTAATGTTATGGTCCCAAATAGCAGAGAAGAGGAGATTCTCGCTCAACTATAATGCTAAGCAGGACAAAGCTGAAGTAATACAAGAATATTCTAAACTTCGTCATATCTGAGCTGGAATCCTAAAACCATTTTATGGAAAGTAACCAAAGGATAATGTTCTTTGTAATTGAATTTTTTCTCTCTTTCTTGGGTTTCCTTTGTAAGGTGAAGAAGAAGCAATACTAAGCGTGTAAGTCATCTGCTTCTTGGGGAGCAATTGGCATAATTTCAACTTCGAAATCAAGCATGCTTTTACAGCCACTTGAAAAGCTTCATACATGAACACTGTTACTTGTTTTCAATGCAACTTCTTTTACAATGTGCAAATTTTATATGTTTTATAGGGTGACCAGGCTTCTATAGTGGGTGGTGCCATAGAGTTTGTGAAGGAGCTGGAGCACCTCTTGCAATCACTTGAAGCTAGAAAGCTGCAACTTTTGCAGCAAGAAGTGGCACAAACCAATGAAGATACGGCCATTTCCAAACTTATGCAACCCCCTTTTGCACAATTTTTTGTGTATCCTCAGTACACATGGTCCCAGGCTCCTAACAAATACACATCCAAGACCAAAGCTGCCATAGCTGATATCGAGGTCACTTTAATAGAGACCCATGCAAATCTTCGAATCCTCACAAGGAGAAGTCCCGGCCAGCTAACGAAGTTGGTATCTGGTTTTCAAACACTCTACCTCACCATCTTACATCTTAATGTCACCACCATAGACCCTTTGGTGTTCTATTCCATCAGTGCCAAGGTTTGTAATTAACTATCAATTTCGTTATCTTTCAGTCTTAAAAGCTTGACTTTTAAGTATCTAAGATTAGTTAATTTTTATCAAAAAATAAAATATTAATAACATTGGAAATACAAAAGTATTGATAAATACTTTAATTTTTTTTATTAAATTTATATTACTTTTAAAAGCTTAAATTCATTTTACTGTGTCAGTTCCATTTTCCACCATGCCTTAACTTTATAGAATAAATTCATGTGGCAGAATTAATCTTTCATCTATGAAATTATAACTATGATGTCCTTTTATAACTCATGAAAATTTAGAGAGATTGTTTGGCTAAAATATGAGCATTTTCTTTTTTATTAAGGTTGAAGAAGGATTCCAACTTGGTTCTGTAGATGGTATTTCAACGGCAGTTCATCATTTGCTTGGAAGAATTGAGGAAGAAGCTTCCCTTTGCTGTTGATCTGTTTCATCTGGGGGCACGAGATTTTAGTGAAATTACCAAATCAACCCCCTAGCCGCCTAGAAAGAGAGGAAGAATATTTGGTGATGGATTGAGCTTTTGTTTTTGTTTGTTTGGCGCCCAACTAATGTGTTAATCATGATAAACTATAGTTGCAGTAGATTGTGTTTTGGTTGCTTCAAGTACAACTTGTTTGGGAACGGTTTCCACAACATTCGACAGATTAGACTTCAAACCAAATGGAAAGTTGTTCATACAGTTTATCTTGTTTGCAGTTCCACTGCTTGTGTCCTCGTCAGTGCCCCTCTTGCCATGAGAGTCATAACCTATAAGATATAACATTATAATTTTTTCTTTGTTTTGGAAACATCTCTTTTATTATTAAAATACCAATAACGTGATTAATCAAATTCGTTTGATATGTTGTACTAGATAAAATATTATTTGATTCAAATATTTAAAAATCACAATTTTGATTAAAATTTAAATCATATTACTAAATTTAATTCAACATGATTTGATTAAGTGGATTTAGATGCATACTTTAATTAACTACTTAATCTAATTTTTTTTATATCAGAACTTATGCGATAAATTGACACATAAAATTACTAAAACAAATTAAAAAATTATCTCGAGAAATTATAAAATCAAACTTTCCAAAATAAGTTAATAAACTCGTTTTATAAGTTATTTACAAATTTTAAATATCTAATTTATTTAAAATATTATATTAATAGAAGTTAAAATGATTTAGATTAATTGACTTTAACACTACAATTAAAGTTTCAACGTGGTTAGACAAAGAGAAATTGAATTCAACGGTTTAATTTTTAATTATTTATTTTAATTTTAAGAATGCTACTTAAAATATGACATTAATATACTATCTATTTTCAAATAGCACGATTTTATTAGTGTGTGTATCTACAAACTCTAAAAGATTGGTTCAAAAATAAAATTAAGAATTTAAATTAAAAAAATCAACAAATAAACCAAATTTACATGATTTTAATAATAGAAAAGTTTAATTAATTTAAGAAAAATTTATAAGATTAAAATCTTACAAATTTCAAATTAGAAGGACTATAATTATAATTAAACTTGTGTTTTTCATAAATATATAAAAGTAACTTTTGGTAAGGATTTATTTTACTTATTCTTTGCAGTGTAGAATAAAGAATTCAAACATCTTTAAGAGTCCTTGATGATCGAAATAAGATGACCTGATAAAAATTTTGTTTTAGTGTTCGTTGATCACTTAGAATATGATAACTTGTTATATCGAGTTATCCTATGTGATTCAAATATAGTTTATAGTTTAGTCAATTATATTTTATTTATCTCAAATATTAAAAAGAATAATATAATAATATTTGTTTTATTATCTTTATATATATCAAACATAAAATAGAATAAAAAATTATCTTTCTCTTGTTGTATTTTATCTTTATCTATTTCTTTATTTTATTATATTTTTATCTTATCTTCACCAAACGGGCCTTAATAATTATATATGGTTACTTTTACTAACTATAAGAATAATTTATACCAAATTATCATATTTTATTGTCGTAAGTAAAATTTTTATCCTCACGAGGATAATGAGTTATGAAGTATTAATAAAAAATTCTATAAAAAGTATATATTTTAAAAGGCAAACTATTTTTTAAAAATATAAAATATATTATTATACCTTTTTTAAGAAAAAGGTATAATAATATAAAATGTAGTTTGATTTGATTTTTTTTAAGAAATAAGAAAAATGATCCTATTGAATATAAAAAATTTCTTTCAGTTTTTGGACAATTTGATCGGTTTTAAATTTTTTATTAATTGAACGATTCAAAGTATTATAGGAAAATCCAAAAGTTGTATCATAATGGGGATTTTTGTCCAGTAGGGATACTTCTATTTTGAAACAAACAGGCATAGCCGTGGATTAACCCTTGCTTGGGTGATAATGCACTTGTGTGTTGAGACACTAAAGAAGACCCTATCTTACATTCGGGAAGAGGTAAAAGAAAACAAAATCTGGCCCATGTTAGCGCTGTGCCTACATTTATACATTTTGTTCTTTTTCGGTTATGGATGGAGATAGTGAACTTGCAAGATAAGTGAACTCAACTTTGCAGCATCATAATAGAAGCAAATATCGACCTTGCTTAATGAAAGAGGGGCCAGAGGGCTCAATTTTTGAAGACGACAATTTTGGATTCATATGAGGTTGCAGTCGGTGGTTTCCTTCGTTAGAAACACTCATAAATATCACCATAGATAAATGGTTGACCTTCTATGTATCTTCCTTTGATTAGTCCAAAGTTTTCTTCATCAAGTAATACATTTTCATCATGATTATTCATGATTCATGCATCATTTCTGATTGTTCACGTGGGAGAGCTTCTTCTCCTCATTAGCGTTTTATGTCGAGAAAAAAAGCAGCAGCTTGAGTTAGCTATTTGAATCAAGTCCATAGTTACAATAATGGGTTTTCAATCGCAAAGATAATGGATACATTTTCCAAGTCCTGAGAGGGGAGGGAGCGAGTTTGTGTGACACGTTTTGGTAGTTCTGAATGAAAGGTTGGATCAAATTAAAGAAGGGTATGTGGGATCGATGCAATTTTAATTAGTTTTGTTTTGATTATCATCAGCTTGCAGTTTTGTTTCTTTCTCTGTGATCGAAAGATCAATATCCCCTCATTAAGACAATGTGTCCGCTAGTGTAAGGCAGGATCAGAGAAACAGACATGTATGTATGGATGATTCCAAACAAATCTACATCTTTGCTCTATTCATATGCATGTTATGTACATGCCACTCTACTCAACTACGCATGCATGCGTGCCCCTAAAAGATCCTAATCAAACAATTCGCTTATTATTTTAAAAAATGCTAACGTAATACTCTCTTAAACACATTTTTTAACAGCCTCTTTGTGATATAATACATACCTCGCAAATTAAATATTGCTTTATTGTTTTTTAAAAATATATTCCAATTATATAAAACGTATTGTATATTAAAATAAGTAAGATGCTGATATGTTTTTCTTTTTTTGTCAACAAATTTTGCTTTATAAATATGTATGAACCTTATGGACCCATTGGGCCCTAACACACTATTTCTTATGCGGATCCAACTGACACAGCGTCCCGCCAACTTGTTGATCAAAAGAAAAACAAATATTTTGCTCCGTAGACAAAAAAATAATAAAATTTGTCATGTCCCACCACCATCAATAGCTTTAGGATTAGATAATGCATTCCAAAATTCATATAATTTAGAAAAAGTAATTTTAAAATACTACACAATTTTAATTAGATAATTTTTATGTTAAATAAAAATATTTTCAAATGATTTGATTTTAGACAAAATTTAAAAATCTCTCTATCATGCTTAACTTCTTACATTTATTATTTTTATATATTTTTCATATTTAACTCTAAGTATCTTTTATTATTACTTTCATATTTTATGTTTCCTGCAATCTTAAAATTATGAGGAATGTTATTTACATAAAAAAAATTGTGAATTCTTTGTTGTAATAGAAAAATAATAGGATAAAGTTATTATTATTGTAGTAGAAATTTATCATAAAAATAGTATAAAATATCATCTCTCGTTGAATCCATAAGTCGCAGAGATTTATAACACGATGACTTAAATAAACCCACTTACTAGCATATGAAAAGTAATGTCTACGGTACCTTTCACCTATCATTATCTAATCAATACCAAAATTGATACTGATAACACATTAATTATAAAAAAATATATTATTTTCACTTAAATTCTCGTACACCCACACAGTGAAAGAGAGGAAGAGAGAATTTCTAATCACTCAATATTTCATTCACCTGAACGCACATCATTCGGTGCATCCAATAACATTTTATTGGTTTTAATATGTAATATAATACCTATGTGAGAAATAACCGTAAGAGTTCAATTTAAAATTGACTATTGTGGCCTAGATTTGAGGGTGCCTATAATATAGTTAAGTATTTACAATTTCACGTTCACTTGATTTGCAGCAGCCTTCCTAAAAGTCATTGGAGTTTTATTACTTTATAATCAAGTAACTCTTAATTTAATAATGAGGAACCCGCAACTATAATTTTCTTTTGTTTGATTTATATTTTACTGATATTGTCTCCCTTTAATCAAACTTATTTTATTCCAAATATGTTTTTTAACTTATAAAATAACTTAATTCGGAAAAATGGTGTAAAATTATTTATAATTTGATCTTTAGTATGGAAAATGTTAATTTCTACTTTCTTGTTGGCTAATAATTCTTGTACCATGTGAAATCAAGTATTTATGTGTTTAGATTTTTGAATTGAGTAGTGGTAGATCTCCTGTCACAGAATTGTTGCCAAATTTTTATTTCTAATATATTTTCGTACAAAACAAATGCTACGTTATGCTAGATTACTGACGAAAGAAGAGGATTTTAGGAAAATCTACGTCTATAGAGCTTTATAATATAAATGTAGCAGAATGGTAACTTTTGGTCAACGATCTTTCAGAATCTTTAATATTATGATCTTCTTCAATTAGATTTCTTTATCTTCCGATGAAGTTTAATGTTTTCTCTTGAGACCATTATTAGACTATTAGGATTCCTATTGTTCCTTAATCAGCTTGAATCTGATTTTCACTTATTAAACTCATTATTTTTATTAGTAATTTAAAGAACTTACTGGAATTATATCACTTATATTAAGTACATATAAACATGAATAACTCATATAAATATTATAAAAAATATGTTGTTCATCTTATATTATTAAAAATATAATTTTTTTTAATAATCTTCCATTTAGACTACATGTTTATTTTGACATTTATACCACATTGATAAGTTTGTATTTTAATCTATTTTATAGCTTATATATATTTATGTATGACTTGTATTTTATTTAGGTTTTACACTAATTTATATATATATATATATATATATATATATATTGTGTAGTTTAGTATAAGCAGTCTATAGTTGAATTTTTTAGCTTTTTAGACCTAAATTGGTTAGAAATTAAAGCTTTGCAACAGTTAGCACGTTCAAACCTTAGAAGCAAGCACATGAGTATTTCGACCACAAGCACAACTATGCTGATGGCCTTGTACGGCCATGCCAATATGTAATAAGTTTAATTATGAAGGGTTTTTAAGGTTTTCAAACTCTATTAAAAAAGACC